AAGTGATTGTATAGTGACCAAGATAGCAAGACAAAGCCCTATAATCAATCAGATTTGGCTACCATGGCAAAGTATTTGCGAACAAATAAATTCACCCCTTTCCTTCAAGGCTGAACTGATAAGATGGCGAGTAAATATCGTCATTGCTGAGACAAACTCACTACCCTGACAACAGGGGACATTTTCTAGTTTGTCACACTGCTAGGAAGTACATCTTAATGATTTTTTTTAGCCTCTCTAGGCCTATAATGAAAAACATCTAAGGCCTGATTTCAATATGAAAACATTCATTAAATTGCAGTGTCTTACAGTAGTTAAAATAGGCAAGGCTGAAAGAGACATCCTGAAGACTTACAGACTGAAAGTGCTTCTCTACTAAGTATTAACTCAAAGGAGCGAATACATATGCAACCAACACGTGCCAATTTGTTTCTGTCTGCTTCATTTTTGTGCCACCATAAAAAAATATTTTGCACCTTGAAAAAGTTGCGCATCTTGCATACATCAAGTAGTAACAATGCCAAATAAATACATTTAAATTTCAGGTTCTAACACAACAAAATGTGGAAAAGTCAAGGTTTGAGTACTTCTGCAAAGCAGTGTACATCCTGTAGTATTGCCTAGCACAGGGGTCGGTAACCTACAGCCTGTGGACAGCATCTGGCCCATGGACCCCCGCTGACTACCCCCTGCCGCCATTGCCCACCGCCACCGCAACTCGTTTGCGCATGTGCAGCAGTACTGCACACGTGCAAATGAGTTGCGGCCGCCATTTTGGCAAACAAAATGGTGGCCGCGACGCATGTGGCGGCAGTGGCGGTGCGCGGGCGTGGCAGCGAGGGTTGCGCACGTGCGCATGAGCGTGCGCGCCGCCATTCCCCCCGCCCTCCGGCCCGCCGGAAGGGAACGCTGCCAGCGACCAGCCCCAGGTAAGGGAAGGTTGCTGATCCCTGGCCTAGCACTACTTATAATAAGAGTAAAGCATCACTACAGGTTGGGTATCCTTTATCTGGAATTCCAAAATCTGGAATACTCCAAAATCCAAATTGTCCACATGGGTGGCTGAGACAGTGAATCCTTTGCCTTCTGATGGTTCAATGTACTTTGTTTCATGCACAAAATTATTTAAAATATTACATAAAAAATTAACTTCAGGCTATGTATATAAGGTGTATGCAAAACTTAAATGAATTTTATGTTTAGACTTGCGTTCGATCTCCAAGATATCTCATTAAGTATATGCAAATGTTCCAAAGCCTGAAAAATCCAAAATCCAAATCACTTCTGGTCCAAAGCATTTCAGATAAGAGACTCAACCTGTAGCATATTTGAAAAATCAAATGACATTAATTCTAACTTGCATAACACCACCAGCACAACATTAATTGTTATAACAAGAAGAAAACGAGCCAGTCATTCTGATTTCCAGATAATGGCCTACATCAGAGTTGAAAGCATGCTGTACTTCAGATATCGTAGCAGTGCAAGTCCCTGAGCTTTAGCTGACATGGCGCTGATGAGAAATGCTGGGAGTTCCAATCCAATATTGTGTAAATTCTAGATAATGTTGGATTGCAACTCCCAGTATTTCTCCAGATATATTTTAGAGGACCATGATTCCCACTCTTGCATGAATCTAATAGTTCGTTCCAAATATAGTAGGCCCATTGGGATTAAACAACTGGATTAAGGCCAATCTCTTTAGTAGTTTTGTAACTATTTTGCCTCACGAATCCCATATTTTCATTTCATGACAAACATGAAAGGACTTGAAAATATTTCCATATTTGGATGCCTTTTAATAATTTCATATTTTCTCCCCTGAAGAATACAGAAAACACAACTACAAACAATTCCATCTGCTGTGATACCACTGCTCTCCACATTCGTTACAAATTACATAAGTCATCATTTGTTCATCTGGATTTGTGTTTCGTACCCAACCTGGAAGGAAAAGAGCTCCCCTGGCAATCACAGTAACAGTACAATCAAATTTTTCACAGCGCCTACATTTAATTTTGTTTGTCGGTGTACCATTGATCCTCTGGGGAAGCTGATGTTCCCGAAGAGCTGATTCTGTATATGAAGCCCTTAGCTGCTTCAGTTCATCATGCGCCATCTCCATTGCAGACATACCAGCAAATCTCTTAGGACTGAGAACCCCAATATACAGGTTATGTTTTAAGTGAGAGTTTTTAGGATTTTTCAAGTTAGAAACTTTGCTTCGGATGCAGTTTTTGTACTTTCTATCATTGCTAGCATGAAGTGAAAAAACATGCTCTTCAATTTCTTCAGCTATTTTGTGGTGTTTTTCACTTTCTTCACTACCTGTTGAAGAATCAATCAAAGCTTCATGCAGAAGCTGTGTACATTTACACCTCACAGCCACAGAGAGAGCCTGTTGTTGGACTGTTTCACTTACAGAACTGGTACAACCCAGAAGTGCTGGCTGACTTGCAGTATCTTTTTGCACATGACTGCCACTATCATTTGAAGGGTTTTCTGATGTCAAACAGCTACTGGAACTGGCAGAACACAATTTTTCATGCTGGTTCCATTTTTCGGAAGTGCTTACCTCTTCAGAGACTACCTGAAGGTGATCAGAATCCTCATTTATATTATCAGACAACACCTGCTTAAACTGCATTGATGGATTGTGATGCTTTTTATAAACTGTTTTCCACTTTGAGAGTAAGTGTTTTGCCTTATTTTTCAGTAATACAGAGGGGCAGTTCTTAAAGATTCTGAACACAGCTTGGGCAACATCAGTCTCCCGCAAATCATCTATAGTCATATCAACTGTTTCAAGATATGCAAGATGAATTCCAATATCTTGGTATTTTCTTTCAGAGAGAAGCTTCTCTATATTGTCAGCTCTAGTCATGATAACATTTGTGTTAGTCATCTCAAATCCTGAAAAATAAAGTAAAAGAATCATGTTTTGATAAAGCCACTATACCGCTTGGTATAGAGGAGAGAGGTATAACAAATGTAATCAGGTTGAAATAATTCACTTAGATGAATACGGGCATTTTCAAGAAATATTCCATACAACATTCAACCTACATATTAAAGGAATGTCATGACAAAGTTTTGTTAGTGTTTAACTCATTAGGCCTTGTTATGCCCTAAAAGGAGGGAATAGATATTTTAAATACATAAAATAAATAATGACCAAAAAGTAAACTCATTGAATTTATTATAGTGTACTTCAAAGAAAACAAAAATTGGTTCCACATTATATAATTGTAGGGTGCCTAAGTATGCTCTATGGCAGGGGTCGGCAACCTATGGCCTGTGGGCCGCACCCGGCCCGCTGAAGCCTTCCGACCGGCCCCTGCCCGGTCCTGCCGCTGCTGCCGTGCGCGAGCGCCATTTTGGTGTCCAAAATGGCACCCGCACTTGCACACGCATGCGCACGACGGCGGGCGCCATTTTGGAATGCTCAACGGTGCCAGCGCTGTGCGAATGCACATGGTGCCGTTGCCATTGGGCGCTCCAAAATGGCGCCCTGCGTCTTATGAGTATGAGCGCCATTTTGGAAGGCACAACAGCAACGGCAATGGTGCCGCCGTACGCATGCGCACGGCACCGGTGGGCATTCCAAAATGGCGTCCCGCCGTCGTCCACATGTGCGCAAGATGCGGGGCGCCATTTTGGTTTCCAAAATGGCGCCACCCACGTGCGCATGCATGCTTACGACGGTGGGAGTTGGGCGCATGCGCGCGCCCCCCAGCACCATTTCCCCCCCGGCCCGCCGGCAAAAATAGTTGCCGACCCCTGCTCTATGGTGTCCTCTCATAAACACAGGATGCTGTAGTAGCTTTTTCAAAGCAAACTATTTTGCAGCTGTGCAAAGGCTGTATGTTTTGCCAAATTTAAAACTGCAACCAACAGCAGAACTTGTTTTTCACAAGTCAATCAACTTATGGCGAAGTGTGGTTGGGAGTATGGCTCCCAAAGCTGTTTTCCAGCCCTTGATCCCTCCAGACTTTTAGAACTGCCTTTTTTTCTGGCCCAAAAAGGGGTCAACTACATCTTCCGGAAGCATCTAGGACTGGCAATACACTTTGAAAACAGGCTGCAGCCCACCCTGTGCCTGACTGTTGAACATTCAGATTTTTCCAAACCAGAAAAGGAACTTCAGCCTCTTCAGTTTTGGTTGAGGTCATTTTTGTCAATCCACCTGGTATCCACATACCAGGTACAGAACTGTCCACTGGACACACCACCATTGCCCAGACCACCTTATGGGACCAGGAAAATACAAATACTTTGTATGCTATCATGATCCAACATGGCATGGAGCAAAAGAAGAATATACATGGACCAAATGAAATCAGAATTAAATAGATCACAGCAAAACATGCTTCATGGGTCACTGATTCAGGAAACATGAATAAGGAATCACAACCTAAATGATTTCAAGCTGTTATAAGGAGTCCAGTCTGCAGACTTTTGAGCTCCACCTAACTCCATATAACACACTATAGCATAATCATACTTACCAAATTAATAATAGACTACCTGGCGGAAAACTTAATAAGAACTAAGTCCTTAAATCTATAAGGCTAGAGAAAGGATTTTTTTAATTGACTTCTTTTATTGCCTTTGTTGCCAAGTTCTTCACAGCTCTGTTTTCTTTAAAAAGAGGTGGCGACTGAACTTCTTCTGTCTGCATCAGAACTCTTCTTCTGCAACATCTCAAATAAGCAAGATGCAGACCTGTGACTCTAGCTGTGTCCTTCTTTTCCCACATGAATTTTAAAAAACCATCTGTGCCAGAGCCAGTGTGGTTCAAAAGGTAGCATAATTATTTTTGCACATTTTGTGTGTGTGTGTGTGGTATGCCTTCAAGTTGTTTCTCACTTATGGTCACCCTAAGGTAAACCTATGATGGGATTTTTATCTTTTGCAAGATTTGTTGAGAGGAGGTTTGCCATTGCCTTCCCCTGAGGCTGAGAGCATGTGACTTGCCAAAGTTCACCCAACTGATGTCATGGCTGAGCAGGGAATTGAACCCTAGTCTCCAGAGTCATAGTCCAACGCTGAAAGCACTCTGCCATGCTGGCTCTCGGCATAATGATTTTTGCATCTTTATTAGGTTGGCCTAACAAAAGTATCACCACGACTGCATCTGCACCGCAGAATTAATGCAGTTTGACACAAAGGTCATGAGAACCTTTAATGTTAGACATCTCAAATCCAGAAAAATAAAGTAAAAGAATGATGTTTTGATAAAGCCACTATATGGCTTTGTATGGAGGAGAGAGGTATAACAAATCTAATCATGCTAAGATAATTCACTTAGGTTACATCCACACTGCAGAAATAATCTAGGTTTAACTGCCTTGGCTCAATGCTATGGAATTCTGGGAATTGTAGTTTTGTGAGACATTTAGCCTTCTCTGTCAGAGAGCTCTGGTTGCACAGTAAACTACAAATCCCAGGATGCCATAGGATGCAGCCACAACAGTTAAAGCGGTGTCAAACTGCATTCATCCTACAGTGTGGCATCAGCCCACAATGTGGATTTGGGATTTTGTTTCATCAAGGTCAATACA